TTCATATGATTTTATGCAGTGTTATATAAAACTTAAAGCTACTAGAATAACATTAATAAAAAGCACACAATTTAGAATGTAAACCAAATTTATTGAAATTTATGATGTTTAGTATGGCCTCCAAGTGTAAGGCATCCATCGAGGACTGAACTCACTACAGAAGTAATAGTTTCCAAAAATAGCTTGAGAACTATCATATCATTTACAGCTGCCCACAAACTAAAGTAATTTCTAAAATATAAGTGAAGATATTGAATGTATCAGTCAGTTAAATATTAATTCTCAGACAAATTCTAATTAATATAAAGTGAACAAAAATGGTTTTCTAAAGTCATTGTGTATTGTAGCTGTAATTTTTTTCCTAATACCAACATTAGGTAAATACATTGTACTTAAAATAAAAATGCACCTCTGTATGCATAACAAAGTTTCCATTTTTACAAGCAGGTATTTTTTGCAGATACAATGAATTACAATTAAATTTAGGAGAGGACATATTTATATCTTACAGTTTTGATGTCTAAATAAAGCTGAAATATAACTAAGATTCAAAGAGGCTTTTTCATTGCATGTTAAGTAACCAAAGTTAAAATGCAACACAAGAGTGTGAGAAATTGGACCAAAGGCAAGCAAGTTATCAGCAACCACTTAATATGTCAAGACTTTTATGAGGTGTTTTTAAGATGAAGAAACATCTTTACAGTTTTTTTTTCATTCATAAATATGAAGAAGAATCTACAGAATATTTCTACTCTACATCAACATTCTTTATTATGCTGTTTTAAAACTTATGCAGTAAAGTCTATTAACATAAAAAAAAACAAAATACAATTGGCTTCACTAATTTTCAAGTCTGTTTAAATGCCAGTAGTTTATTTCATACTTTAAACAATAAGAAATTACTCTTTTAAATGCATCCCAAGTTCAATGGCTTAAACACAATTATACATTACTCTTTTTAGATGGCAAAGGTTAGAAATGACCTAGTGGAAAGAAGGAATTTCCATCCATACAAGATTTAACAAGCAGATGGATTTGATCAATAACAAAACACATATTCAAGATGAGTATATTTAAAAAAAAAAAAAAAAAAAAAAATTAACATTTCATTCACTTACTTTTGGTTACTACCTTCAATATACAAGTAGAAAAATAATAACTTCAGTTTTGAGTAATGTCTCATTGAGAGGAAGGCATTTAAAGTTGGCTGAAGCAATAGAATAAATTTAATTTTTTTTTTTTTTAATGTCTCTCCTCTTATAAAGTTCTAATTATTTTTTAAATTAACAATTCTAATATCTACAACGGTTCTAATAGATTTATTATAAGCTGTAATGTTAAGATATTTGCAGAGTGTCATGAAAAAATAACGTTCTTTAACAGACATTCTACTACTACTGCTGCTATTTCTGCAACACAAGTTTTGAATATTTTAATTTGACATCTTCATGTCAGTATATAAATCAACTTACATTTTTATGCAAACTGGTTTTTATATAATACACATGCAGAGATTGTTTTAAATTATTTTAAAATATCAGAGTTTGGAAAGTTAGCTATTGGAATGTTATAAGTGGGGGATCACAACTGTTCATTTGAGATTATCAGTAAATATCAATCTAAAAAAAAAAAAAAAAAAAAAAAAAAAAAAAAGAAGGCCAACTTTGTTGGACAAAACTAATATTGGCACTAAAACTACACAGTTGATTACCTGGTAAAGCAAATACTCATTATCACTTGCAAGGCTAGCAAACTAATGACTGGTTAATGTTTACCTGTTAATACATATTTATGTAGATATCACTGAGGTCCAGATTTTGAAACAAACCAATCTGGAAATAGAAATTTCTAACAGCAGAAGAAAGATGAAAAACAAAAGTAATGGTTAAAAAATTCAACAGAAAAATCTATGAACAAAAAGAAATTGAATAAAAACATACAAAAAAAAATCTATGAACAAAAAGAAATTGAATAAAAACATACAAAAAAAAAAAAAAAAGTCTTCCTAACATTCACATTAACCTTGTTACCCAGTAGTAATAAGTTACAAATACTTGGCATTCAATTGTTTGCAGCAGAAAGAGGTGGTGAAATATGGGACGAATGATAAAATGTATCACCAACAGTGTAACATTCCAGATTAAGCCTCATTTGGAATGTTTTTATTTATTTCAAAAATACAAGTCTCAAAGGTTTATATTTTATATTTACATAAAATAAAAACATTCCGTCTAATGAAAAAAAAAAAAGATTAAACCATTTTCAAATAACTTAATTTTTTCTTTCCTAGTATTTCTTCCATCTTAATTTCAGTGTTTTTTTTTCCCTTTTTGCAGCTGTCATAAAATATATGAAAATATAATTAAGTAAAGACTGAATATTTGTAAAGCTTTCCAAAGAATAAATAGGTGATATCCAAGTTTAATATGAAATTGTTGCAATAATAAAAGACAGAATGAACTTTTATAAATAACAACTAAGCTTTTTAAAGGATGTGCAAATCATGTAACCATTAGTGACTAGGAAATTACACCCACTTTCACACAAATACCCTTGAGAGCAGCATGAATTCATCTGTTTTCATGCCATTAATGGGTTCAATAGCAGGGCTGACTGAGTTCTCTTTCTTTGATGCGACAACCAGCCTAAGAGGAGGAAAACTGAATTCAAAACCAGCCTGAAGAGGGATTGACTATCCTGCCCGAGACACACCACTGCTGCTATGGCTGCAATACATTTACGCCCTTAATGGATTACAGGATCCATGATGTGACAAAACTTTACAAAATACATTAAATTTATATAATAAATAACTCCTTGTAGTTAGTTTAATGCTAAAATTATAAAAGGTCAATTTTTTTTTTTAATGATTTTGTTTTTGAAAATATTAATGTGTGTGTATATATATATATATATATATATATAAAAATGAAATTTAAAGATAAAGTTAGTTTTATGAAAAAAAAAAAATACAAGCTTATATCATAAATAGAACAAATTGCAAGCATAAAAAAACATTGAAGAAAAAAAATTAACTCAAAATTTAAACTAATGAATACAGTTGACCTAGTTGTCTACAACTAAAAAACCCAACATTAATTTATACAAATACCATCCCAACTATTTTGTGAATTGATTAAAAATAAAAATGTTAATAGCTACATTAAAAGCTCTAATTCTTCCCATTCTGCAACAATAGGAAAAGAAAAATATTCTTCTACAAAATAAAGTAAAATGCAGAAACAACCAATAAAGTTTTCATTATTTAATTACAAGTTTAATCTTGTTTATATATTTTTTAGCATAAACCTGCATATTCATTGGAAAACATTTTAGTCTAAACCCTGAGATAAAATATATAAACAAAATTAAAGAATTAATCCAAACCAGTTTATAAATGTCTATTCCACATATGAACCCACAAAATAATTATTTTCAATTCAATAATTTCTCAAGATATAGAACAAGGTATGGATATTGTAGTGATCATCATCACCATTGCACATACATATGGATCATATGGCAAGCATTCATTGGCTAATCTCCTCAAAACTAGCTTGCTGATTGGTGAGAATTGACCAATCAAATCACTGGCACACGGTGAATAATTTTCCCTGTGTACAAGCTTTGGAGTCTACCATGTGATACACAGCCTTATATAAACAAAACACGAATAAGCTCCCTCGTGTTTCCTCTTCATTCATCTTTTTCCTTGCTGCCAAGATGTAAACTTCAAGAGCTCCTGTCTTAACTGTGCGGTCAGGCGTTAAAGATCATTGCCAACAACTCTTACCGCAAGTTGTCAGTAGAGTCCAGCTACTACACCTATCTACACAAATCCATGACTTTACTCACAACTCACACACAGATTTTTGTATCACATTACATTCTTTCTCTCTGTGACTATGCAAAGTTCATGAACCAGAACTCTCTTACTTACCCAAAAGTACACACTTCTTAATTAACTGTATTCTAACACCAGACTCTATTCAACATAGAATCCTGAACATTCTTACTCAAGAGAAACTCTTTTGAACATTAAATCTTAATCAGAATACAGTGGAAGAGAAACAACTTTTTCTCCCATAATTACAACACACCATTGCATGATTGTTTTGTACGTTATTGTTTCAATATATATTTTATTGTTGATAAACAATTGGAGTCTCATTGTTTTTTTTTCTTGAATCATTAAAAATATAAATGCTCTTAGAACACGCAATTACATTTGATAACCTCAACACACAAGCCCAAGCAGCATTCACAATGTTGCAGATAGAGAACACGGTAACGATGTTGCAGATAGAGAACACGGTAACGATGTTGCAGATAGAGAACACGGTAACGAGAACACGGTAACGATGTTGGCAGATAGAGAACACGGTAATAGGAGAACACGGTAAAGTTGCAGATAGGAGAACACGGTAACGAGAACACGGTAAAGTTGCAGATAGAGAACACGGTAACGATGTTGCAGATAGAGAACACGGTAACGATGTTGCAGATAGAGAACACGGTAACGATGTTGCAGATAGAGAACACGGTAACGATGTTGCAGATAGAGAACACGGTAACGATAAGTGTAGATAGAGAACACGGTAACGACGACGGTAACGATGTTGCAGATAGAGAACACGTAACGATGTTGCAGATAGAGAAAACGGTAGATAGAGAAACACGGTAACGTACAAGGGATAGAGAAACGGTAACGTTGCAGATAGAGAACACGTAATGTTGCAGATAGAGAACACAAGTTGCAGATAGAGAACACGTAACGATAAGTTGCAGATAGAGGGTAAGATAGAGAACACGGTAACGATGTTGCAGATAGAGAACACGGTAACGATGTTGCAGATAGAGAACACGGTAACGATGTTGCAGATAGAGAACACGGTAACGATGTTGCAGATAGAGAACACGGTAACGATGTTGCAGATAGAGAACACGGTAACGATGTTGCAGATAGAGAATAGTAAGAAATACGGTAACGTAAATTCATGTTGCAGATAGAGAACAGTAACGACAAGGTAGATAGATAGGAGAACGACGGTAACGATGTTGCAGATAGAGAACACGGTAACGATGTTTATGCATAATGGAAATTATAAATGTATAAAAATATTCATCACTGTATATTTAAACTTGAATGAACTTTCTTTTCATGCAATTAAGTTTAACTTATCCATTACAGTATATAGTTATTAAATTTTATTTATTTAGGTAGATATTATTTTAACTATTTTTGTATCAAATAGCAACAATGCAAATTTGCACAAATTAGCATTGTTGTAATTTGTATATATTTTTTATATATTTTATCAACCTTCCTGGAATATTTAAAGCCAAAACATTTTTTGCAAATGAAATATTGCATTTTAATTTTTGAGAATTATTTTTTTCCAGATACACGGCTTATTATTTAACCCATAGTTGGGGGACGAGATGACTTCATACCTTCCCCAATGGTATTTGCACGTAAGTAAATGTAATGAATCCAACTGGAATTTGACGACTTCTCTCTAATTTCTCATTCCTAGCTGCTATCCATTACACCACCCAAGTATCCATACAAACTTGTAGTTACAATAGCTAAAGTAGGAATTCTTTTATCATATTCTATTCCAAAAGCTTGGCCTAGTTCTTTAAAATATAATAAATGAAAATAATTCCTCCAGAACTCAAAATGAAGCCAAAGGGCAAGAGAAATCTCCACTGGTAGTAAAAAAAAAAAAAAAAAAAAAAAAAAAAAAAGAAAAATCTGTTAAACCTTATCTTGTAAGTTTCAATTTATTGTCATCTCACAAGAAGGAAAATTCTAGACAGTACAAATAATATAAACATTGGGAACTGTCAATATATAGATTATACTAATATGTATATATTACATATAACAAGTATTGTTTGATATGGAAAAAAGTGGGCATTAACTTCATGAAGAATTGAAAGAATATTTATATTGCTTCAAAAAGAAAAGTAAATATACATTATATACAAAGATGAAGGCACAAACATAAATGATAAAAAAAATTAAAAAGCAGCAAAACATCAGAGACTTTCTTGACATCTATTTCGGAAAATTGAGAGATTTAAAAATTAAAAAAGGAATCAATCTAAATAATTGCTTTTTCACTTTCAGGTACAATAAGTCCATCCCCACAAAAAAGAATTTTTATGAACAACATATTTACAAGGCACAAAATATTCAAGAAACAGTAGGACAGGGTTTTTTCATAAAAAGTAAAAATAAAAAAACAGCAAAAGAGAGACAAAAACAAAAGAAAAAAAAAATGTGCCCAATAATGGTATACGTGTGTGAATAAAATACAAATAGTCTTTGCTCAATGTACCAAACAAGAAATAAGTAAAATGTTTTAATGTGACATGTAGAAAGAAGTCTTGTTTGAGGTTAAGTATGATTAATTGTAATTACATATTTTTTGTTATTTCTTTTTCTATTCTTATTTTCACTTAAAAAAAATTTATTAGGATTACATATTAGATTTAATGAAATTTAATGCATATAGTAAATTATAAACTCATCTAATTAGTAAGATTAGAATTCAAAATCAACACATTACAAAAATAAAATCTAAACATAAATCATTTAAAGCATGTGAAAAAATAAAATGTTTTTCTAACCATATACAAAATTTTACAAGAATAAGAAACTTTAAATTTTTTTTTAAATAATGAGTGTAAATGGATAAAACTTAAAATTGAAAATTTTTCTTTTGCAATGAAAAAAAAAAAAAAAAAAAAAAATAATAAATTACATAAATGTCTTTGCTAATAGGAAGAATATGTCAAATTTTCAGTTATTTTATTCATAACAAAATTAGTTATAAATATGTCTTGAAAAGTTAATTATTTATAAAGCAGTGGTTTAAGCAGTGAGAATATCAGTTATTGGGCTTATGTATGATTATAATTCAATGATAACTCACTATTATGACAATAAATAAGCTTCAATACATCTTAATGAAAATAAAATTCATTCATTAACAAAATTTCAATTTTTCATGGAATGGAAAACTAAACCAAAAAGCTTTTTTTTTTTTTTAGTTAAACAACTAAATTTTGGCATAAATTTAAAATAAGTTTGATTATGAAAATTTATATAATTTTAAGTATCTTCCTAATGGAAATTTAATAGACATGACAAAATAAGTTTTAAATATAAACATTAGTTTTTATAAAGACACAAAAACATTTGAAATAATAATGAATATAAACTTGCAGCAATTATATAACTGAGAAGATAACTTGCCTACTTATAAAATAATACTATTTTCAATTTATTCCGCTTAAAAGGGACACAATTCATCATTGCAATTATTTTTTTTTTAATATGGAACCACAAAACAAAATCAATCAGTATGACTTGATAAAACAATAGATCATGATAAAGTTGTAGCTACATCAAAACTTAAATATCATTAAACCGATTATTACATTTCATATACTAGGAGATTCAACATTATATAAGAAACAGCTGAAGGTATATATTACATATACTTTTTCATGCTTTAGTAGCAATTAATACATATTACACAATACAATGTCTGAAAGTTTTGTTTGTTTTTTGTTTTTTTAATTTTACATTTTTGTCAAAAACAACTCTGAATATATCTACAGAGTACCAAAATTTGTAAGGTAAGCACAAAACTTATAATCATTTACCTTTTTATAATTAAGGATTTTTAAGAAACTAGTAAATAAATTCAGATTAAGGTTTAAAAGATTAATTATTAACGGACAATCAAATCAAGATACAAGAATTTAAAGAAAATCTTTAAATTAAATTTCTGAAGTTTACAAATAATTTGCATTAACTTAAAAAAAAAACAAAAAAAAAACTCTTTGAAATTAATTATCCTCAGTATAATCATGAAAATTGTTAATGCCAATAGAAATATAATTAATTACATTTTACTAGAAGGTAGTAAATATATAGATAAAAAATTTTAAATTGTGTAATTCTGAAAATTTAAACAATGTTACTTTTCAGATTGACAAGTATAAGCTGATAAAGAAAGGACATGCTATAATTTTGATTGCTTTTAAATCAAGTCTGCTGAAACCTTAAAAATCCATACTAGGATCTTAATCACAAATCTAACCAATCAACAAGCATAAAAATGATGTACTGATATAAGGAACAAGGTAAATTAGAAACTGATGTAAAAATCTCAACAGATTAACTACCTTTTAAATGAGGTACAACGTAAAATGAGAAATTATTTAAAGAAAAGAAAAGTAAAAAGCACAAAATCAACCAATGTTTAATTGATAGTCTATAAAACACTATTAGTCATGCAGCTTTATATCTCCTTAGTAATGAGATATTCTGTTATAGTAAGAGGATGCATTACAAGAGGTCATTAAGTAAATGTCATGTGCAACCATAAGAAAAGATATTAGTAAGTAGGGAGACCAGGCTGCAAATAGTATTTTTTTTCCTGAAAAACATTGAAATGTTTTTGATATTATCTTTATATTTTACTTTTAGAATTCTTTCTTACATGCAACAACAGAGTTAATTTTATAGATGAAAATCCAAAATTACTCATGCAGAAAATATCATCAATGTAAATCCAAAATTACTTAAATATTGCCATCATTTATTGATGGTATAAGTAAAATAAGAATTAGAACATTTAATAAGTGATTAGTTTTTACCTGGGCAACACTTGAGACATGGTTAAGTCCAAAAACCCAGACAAACTCACCGGTGAAATAATTATGACATTAATAATAACAGTAAATTCTAAATTAGAAGTTAACAGATAAAGTCTGATATGTGAATACACAGAAAAAAACAAAATATTTATCAGTAAATGATATAAAGTATTTGATGGCTGTATTTACAAGAGGATTTGACAAATACATGAATAACAAAAGCTACAAAAGTATATCAGAGGTTTAGCTTTTTATGTATATCAGAAAAAAAACAATTAGAAGTTGTAGAAAAAGTAAAGGAAACAATTAGAGAAAAATGAAAGGAAATAAAAGTTGTTTACAATACTGATAGAACTAACTAAATCAATTTGATGTTACTAATAATGCACTAATACATTAAAATAATACTGTTGAAAAAGCGGGAAAAGAGTGAAGAATAAAAATTGTATATTTTTAATCAATGAACTAAACCCAACATTTTGTCAAGCTTGTCTGAAAAATGCTTGTCTGAAACATTATTATATATATATATATATATATATATGATTGAAAGCTAAATTGCTAAATTAAATTTATTTTCTTTTAAACATGTTCAGACAGGATTATACTTGGTAGCTCTGTTCACAACCAAACTTGGGGAAAAAACAGTTTCTTCAACCAATATGCACTTTAAAATAATGATCCTAAATACCAAACTGTAGGGAAAAATATTCTATGTTATAAAATGCTGAAAAGTTCTGCACTCAACTCCCTTCCCGAAATTTGACCAAATATCAAATTTTTTTTTTAAGAAAGGCTTTGTAGGGCTAAGAACTTTCAGTGTGTGTATATATATATATATATATATATATATATATATATATATATAATAAATTTGAAGTTTAATAATGCAAGAGAAAAAAATCTCTGGAAGTAAAATTATATTTTATATATATTACCCTTATAAAATTAGCATGATAAAAATACAATTTGAAGTACAAGATTTTTTATAAATTTATAATTTTTCAGATGAAATAATATTAGGGTCTAAACAAAGAAATGCCTGCAATTTTAAGTTTATAAAATATTACAACAAAAAATAAACAGTAGCACTTGGAGCTAGATTTTAAGAGCTGCTTTTATTAAAATTTTAATTCAATTTAAAGGAAAATATAGTTTGTTTTTTTGTTTTTTTGCATAAAAAAAAAAAATACATTTAAAATTGACAAAACACTCTTTATAAAAACAGAATATAATTCTAAAATGCATCTAAATTTCATTTCTTCAGAAAAAAAAAGTGTCTAACTCAAAGCTTGTTTCTACCACCTTATTCAATATAAC